CGGAGCAAAAATAATAATGGTGATTCAGACCGCAGTAGCGCCTAGAGGTAGAGCTGCCCATTACTTCCAAAAGCATGCCTAGATTTAACGTATACGGTGATTTTGCAAATCACTTACCATTAATAAATTTCACTCGAAAAAAAAATAGCCAAAAAATGTTCGACAAATTGAAAGGCTTGGAGGATAAAGCGCATAAGTGCTAGTTTTGCTATTTCGCGAAATACGTGGTTGAAGTTTCGAAATTACATGGATCCTTAGAATGGAAAGAAAGTTCAAACTGACTTTTTTATGCTTGAAAATTGGAATTCGGGGGCGAATTTTTCTCAGAATATGTATTAAGACTAGTTTCACATGACCCTCATTCATATCTCAATTTTTTCAAAGACTGCACTTATGCACCTCGTCCCTCAAGTCCCTCGATTATAATTTTAAGCAGTTTTTCAAAGTGTTTGAAAGAGGTTTTTTAAACGGTCGTCGTTACAAGAGGAAAAGACTCAGCTAGGACGGGAAATTTCATTTAAGACCTCAATCGGCACATGATATCAATGATAACTTTTTTCTCTCAGGGTAACGCTCGAAATATTTGATGACATAATATTTGATGATTGAAACAATTAAATTAGAGGTTTCAAACGGACGGAAATGACCAAGTTCGCCTCTGATCTTTTGTAACGCGCCTGAGATCACGTAACATCTAACGCACGCCACTGGAGTAGGTACTTTTACGTTATTGTCGGATTGGTTGAACAATTGAAGATGATTGAAATATTACCTGTAAGTTATTTTTTCGTCCCGGTTTTTCTTAAGTACTTCCTTGTCTTAAGCGATGTACATTTCGGAAAATTATTTCCTTTTTCAGGCCACAGAATTTTTTTGACTGGCACTAAAACATTGCGCGCGTTCGAAATTGCGAGACACGTTAAAATATTAAAATCGAAAAAACAAAAATACTATATAATAAAATAAAAATACTACTAATAAAATAAAAATACTACTAATAAAATAAAAATATTAAAATTGGGACGAAAAGATAACTTACAGGTAATAACACCCAAACCTGGTAAAATGAAAAACCCATGTGTGATGATTGAAATAGTTCAAACAGTAAGCTATTCATATATTTTTGCAAGTGGCAAAGCGTGAATGATTGATCATCGATATTTCCCCCATTTGAAGCTATGGTAAAGAATCGATTATTAAGGTGCTCGTTGCAAATACGGCATCGACCGAACCTTTTCCATGTAGGTTTAAATAGCAGATCAATTGATTTATCGCAAAGCACGCCATGCTACTGGTTTTTGCAAAATTTTGTCTAAAGATAATAAAAGGTGGCCAAATGAAAGTTTACATACTAGGAAGAATTACTAATAGCTGACCACAACGATCCTAAAAAAGAATTTTTAAAAACTCCTCAAATATTGTTAGAAATACTATTTCAGAAGTCCTTTTTTATAATTAGGTCAATTTTACGTACATAATCAATTTAAGTAAGTGTTATTCTATCAAATTTTCCTAAGATTTGTCCAAATAATCTAAATGTTTCAAAACTATTGTGGGACCTTAGAGAGTTTTTTTCAACACTTTTGTTTGACTATAATTATACTTTTTGTCACCTTTAGGATAAAAAAATTAAAAAGTTTTCTAAACATCAATTATACCGGTACTTCGGGAGGTATTTTTTTTTTTAAATAAAAATTCCTGGATTTCTTTAATTTTTTTTATTTATTTATTTTTTTTTATCGACTTTGCTGGTGAACAACTATGATACAGTATTCTAGAATTGCATTTAAAGGAATATTATCCTCAATATCCCAAGGCTTGGCATTCTGGGTTTATGCTTTCTGAGAGAAGAATTTATTTTTTAACGAATTTATTTTTTTTTAAATAAAAATTGATTCAACAACTGATTTTCATACCAAAAATAAATTTTGCGTCAGGTAAGCAGAAAAACCACTCTCGTGATGATCCGTTCATTCTAATGACTTGAGTTGACGATGTAGGAAATATGTGTGAGAATATTATACATAAAAAACTAAAAAGTCTTTCTCCCGATCAATTCTCACTAAAATTTACCAGCTTACAGTATTGATGTATGGTAATTCTGACTTCATCCAAAAGAAGGCGTATAGCGAGTGTATGTAATGTGTAAATTTTGACCTGTTTTACGTCGATTACGTTTAGGCATGCATCAATTTTCCTCAAAATATATTATTTCAACGATGTGGCACCACTGGCTCGGGTAAATATTATCTCGTCTTTTTTCCCGTGCCTTATCGAAATGCGGGGTTTGTCGTGGGCTTGACCCCCTTGAACCGTTTGGTTCGGATCTAAGATTTGTTGGATGGAAGCGTGGGATGTTCAAAAGTCGGGGAATCTAGAATCTTTTAGAATAATTTTTGACGAGCCTGTCTCAAAGTCCTCAGAGTATGAATTCTATAACACATTTTTACTCTTGAGTGAAATTCGAGCGATCGGGTGGAATGAAGGAAATAATGTAGTATTTGGAAACGTATTCAAACATAAATGTGATCAGAGGCGGATCCAGACGTTTGGCAACGCCGGATTCCTTCCATTTAAACCTATGTTAAATAATCGATTCTTATTGGAGTACCTGGCCCCTCTAAGTATCGATACATTTCCAAAGATTCAAACGGAGAAAAACAATGTAGCCAATTTGCTGGATCCGCCAATGAATGTGATTAAATCAGTGGCGTGCGGTCCGGATAAGCAAGGCAAGCACTGCTTGCCAAAAGATTTCAGAAAAAATAAGAAAATTTCACCTATTACATGTTTTAAATTTTAGCAAATAGTATTGATAAAAGGTGTTAAGTATGAAAATTGCATTAATAACAGAAAAAGAGAAAGAGACAGATAAAAGTATAGAGCGAAATTCGAGCGATTGGGTAGAATGAAGGAAATGTAGTAATTGGAAACAGATTCAAACATAAATGTGATTAAAGGTGTGCAAGGCAAGCACTCCTTGCCCAAAAATTTCAGAAAAAATAAAAAAATTTCACCTGTTACATGTTTTAAATTTTAGCAAATAGTATTGATAAAAGGCGTTAAGTAAGTAATATTGCATTAATAACAGAAAGAGAGAGAGAGAGAGACAGATAAACGTATAGAGCGAAATTCGAGCGATCAGGTGGAATGAAGGAAATGTAGTTATTGGAAACCGATTCAAACATAAATGTGACTAAATCCACGTAAAAGGAACTTGAATCTTAAGGCATACAGTAAAACTGCACGTACACCGAAAAAAAAGTAGGGCAAATTTTCGCAGAAGTATGATATATTCTATCATGAGTCTACTTTATTTTTTAGTACAGTGATGCTTTAGGGTAAAGATACAAAGACATCTGATAGCATTTACCATACTTTTGGCGGATGCGATTCGATCAACGGCTACCATCGAGTCTGTTGACGATTACCATATACTCATATCATCGTCGCCCAAAACCATACTTTTTTCTCTCGGTGTACATAAATAAGTAAAATGAAACGTAATTTTTAATATTCAACCACACCATGATGGATTCTTAAACTATGGAATATAAAAGACTGAATTCTTGTGGCATTTTCAGGAGTCCCTCAAAGTTTAGTCAAGTTACAGTTCTCGAGTACAATTTATGTAACCATTACATAATGATCATAATGCCTTTTTACCATTGTCATCAATTCTCCTTCGCATAATATCTGGTCTGAAGGGTAGGGCTAAAAAACTAAAATTTGAGTGGTGGCATTATGTGGAGGGATGTTTTACGAATGGTTAAATTTTTTTCGGCACTTGTAAACAAGCCTGAATATTCGCATATCAAATGAAACGTTAGATACGTGTGAAATTTTCTGTTTTGCAGTTGAATAGTTTTGAGAAAAAAATACTTTACATTTCCATCTGTTCTGTTAAAAATTCAAAATTACCCAATTAAAATGTAATATTATTTCCCTCAAGAGCAAAAAAAAAAAAAAATTAAAACAACTCTCGCCACTTATTCTTTGGGAGCCACACGTCCTGGTATGGATAACTATTCTTGCATAGGGTATGTTCTTTGGCCCACCCGTAAAATTGGAGGCGAAATTGCAATTTGTTGCCCATAATTCCTTCTTGCGTTGCTTCCTCCTTTCCTTTCAAATTTTCTCTCTCTGAATGGTTACTCAGAAAACACCGGCGAGAAACCTATTTATATTGATACGTCTAAAAATCTGACAAAAAATTGATTTATTCCCCGTTGAGAGCTTTCACCAACAGTCCGTATTTCGTTGACCTCAGAGGCGCATCTACTTTTTGCTTTTTAATTACTTCATCTATGACATTCCGGAAACGTCTCAGTAACGTCATCGATGGCATTATCACTTTTTCTTAACCGATCAAAAGCCAAAAGAGCACGATGTGTTAGCTCGACCAATCAGAGACCAGGATTTTAAGGTCAAGATTAGCCGGACTCTCTCGAAGTTACAGACAAATAAAAAATGCACCGAGAAATTTCTAGAAAATAGTAAATCTCCTTGATCCGTTTGTGGCGCGTGTCACTTAAAATCTTCTCCAAGGAAGCGCCAACTCTGCTGATCCGTCGGAAAAGCACGCAACTTCCAACGGGAGCAGGCAGGGATGTTGCACGATGTTTCGATCCGAAACCGGCAACAGGCCGGTGCGTTCAAAAGCTGCCCGCTCATAGGTTAGCTCGTTGCCTACGCTGCACAAAAGGGACATCTTACCTTTGATTAAATACGAAAAATGGTATTTTAAACGCCCAACTGGCAACCTGTAGCTTGGACTTAGGCCTTTCTGGTTCTCCCCCTTCGTACGGGATCACTATCGGCTTCTATTGCATCATCCTCCGATATCTTGAAACCGTGCCAAAAGTTGCCAAATTCCCTTAAAGGCCCGGCGATTCCATGAGACCGAGGGGTTATTTTTAGAAATACGGCAGCGTAGCAGGCGACCAGGCTCCCCTTAGATCTTTTTAAGCCGTAACAATATCGCCGCTAATTCATTCTTATTCTCACTCTCGCGCCTTGCTTGTTCTGTACTCTCTTTGTATCCGACATTCTTGTTAAATTGTATTTATTTTTCGGGATCCGCTCATTATAAAGTGTTTTAAGTTCCTCGTGTTTTGGAACTATTTTCCCCGGTAGATCTCGTATTTTTTTCTCGTTTGTTTATTCGGTTTTGATTTCGATGGCTTGCAAGATGATCGCCAGATTCTAAGCCGGCTTGAGCTTTTCAAGTTTCGAAAGATGTCGCGGGAAATCAAGAAAGTTTACTCCATACTAGCAACTCGTAAATTCATCTATAATAAAGTTTTGCTAATATCTCGGAAAGGTACTTACGTTTAATCTAACTTTTTTCTTTTTTTTCTATCGTGTGTGTGCTTTTATTTTTGTCGATATTTTTGGGGGGCTTACTTCATAGAGGCATTTGGGATGGAGTCAGGCAAAATGTGCCTTAAGGTACAACCTCATACCCGAAATCGTACAGTATAGTGTATAATCGGTTCGGGATAAAAAAAATATCCATTTTCAGTTTTCGATTGCAAACACTTTTTCCAAATTTTAAAGACTCTAGGCCAAAGTTTCAAGTTATGGTTCGCATTATGAATGGTGTTACGTTCATTTAAACTGAATCGTCTCAAAAACGCAAGCAATCTGTGATAAAGCTCCTTTCAAATCCCTCATTTCTTGTTTTCAAACTTTGAATTGCTACCAAACGGTGAATTTTTGGAAATTTTAAAGTTCTATGCACCAAATTATGCAAAAAAAAACCCAAAGCGAATTAAAATTCTTTTATTGCTTTCACACCTTGAGGCAAATTTTGCTTGACTCCATCAATTTTATTTTTTTCAAAATTACATTCTTTTTTCACAGGATATTTACTGCTCTGCATGATTTTATGATAAGCATCTAGTACATTTTATTCATTTATATAAAAAAAAAATATATAATCTGATTTTTCCCACGACTTCTCGCCGGTTCAAATTTTGCTTTTGAACCATCTTGGATTTATTTGGGAAATAACTTTTCGCGTCATTCGAAAAAGAGTTGATTTTGTCGGGATAATGTTAGGAATAGCATCCGGGAATGGGAAATCTGGAAGTCGACGCGGTTAAAGGAGTTGTTTTTTTTATTTTATTTCCACGGTATACGGGTGTGACATTAATTATTTTGAAGAATGTGAAAAAAATCGAAGTTTTGAAAACGTCTGGTTATCTACCTGTCTGAATCCGCCTTGCTGATTTATAATTAACATTAAAGCAGCTTTAAAGATAATAACTTACGTAAATCCCAAATAATGTTCGTCACTTTGTGTTGAAAATTGCTAGGTAATAGGGCAATCTTTGGCCCGCCGAAATTTCAGAAAATAAAGGTGTGAAAGTACGTCGATAATGAAATTACGTGTGAAAATATTCATTGGAGGCGAAGACGTTTGAATTATGTCATGGCAGTCGGTGCCTGTCTCGCTATAAGTGAAAGAACCTCTCATTGTGGAAGAAAAAACTCATTAAGAGCAAATTCTTTTTCTCGGAGATATGCTGTTAAAAGCAACATACTATATAAGTCGCTTTATAGCACTCCCTCGCGCTCTACGACTCCTAACCTCCACTGCTCTCTTTCAAACCACAAATCTTGGGGGATTGAGCACCTTAACATTTCCGCTTCAATCCCTTCCCTCCAACCTTTCATTGGGCGCCCTCTGCGTCTTCTCCCAGGAGGAACCCAGTCAAGTACCTTCTTCGGCAACCTGTCTCCTGCCATTCTCTGGACATGACCATACCAAAGCAACATTACTTTTTAAAATCATTTAGAAAAGTTAATAAATTAAATTTACCAGTTTCAAGAAATCATTTGTGTCTTTTTCCTTGGCTCATAGAGAAGAGGTATAAAACTTTCAGTATTCATATAATTATACGAATGAGCCAAAAATTCCGTACAAGAATGTAGACAACAGTAAAAATCCCTATCGAAATGATGATTCTGATGATAATTTTTTACATTGTTCTTTATTAAATGCTGCCCGTGGAGAAAAATTACAGTTCTTTGTTAAATGCTGCCCTGGAGAGAAATAAAATTTCTTTGTTAAATTAAGCTGCCCATGAAGAAAAATAAAAGTAGCTTTGCATCAACATTCAACAGCCCGTATGACTGCTTTAAAGTACAGAACAATAGTAGCCATTTGCAAAAAGCATATCTTGAGGAATCCGCGGGCTGAATCTAATCGATGTCAAATTTCGTGAAAATTTTTGAAATGAAATTATTTACAATTTCTGCAATCGACTCAGTATGAGATAAAACGCTTAGAAACAGTAAAATTTTATTTTTGAAAAAGAACTGCGGGAAAAACAGTATCATTAATTAAATTTCAATTTTTTTTTATGGTTTCTCCGATAATCGTTGCGGGTTGCGTGCTCAGGCCCTGAGAAATTGCTGAAATTTCAAATTTTACAGGTGATTCCATTTTGCATTTATAACCTTACGTCATTTTTTTCTCTGTGCTATGCTCGTGAGCAGAGCATACAGCCCCGTGACCGAGGAAAATGTCCTAAATCATCGATCCTTTGACGTAAGGGCGTATCTCAATTTCTGCTTGAGCCCTTTTGTTCATATAACTTCATGCCTTCCGGGACTCACGTGGAAATCGAGCCACAACTTCGAGTTTTGAAATTGAGTGTAGAGAGCCGCTAGAGCTTTCATTATGTAAGCCTTTCTCAGCTCTTTTTATCTTTTCAATTTTAGCCAATTTATAAGAGAGAAAAATTGATCGAATGCCATGTCAGTAATTATGGATAAGCTTGTGATAATATGAGGTGATTTTGCTCAACGACGATTATTTCGTCCCACCGCAATTGAAAGGAATACTACCGTGCATAAAACATCTCCGTGGGAACATTCGAATATTGCCGAATTTTCTCCAAAAATATTCATTTTTGAAGGAAGGTATGGATATTTTCCCTGGAAATATTCAGACACTTAAGATCAAAAAGGAGTAGGGGTAGCCTACCCATCTTCCACATTGGTTGGTGTGCAGGCGGCCACTATGTCTGCTTCGGATGTTCGGTACCGAATTCCAGTGGTTACGTGATAATGGCTATGGTCAGGTCGCCACTCAATTTTGTCGTGTTATTTGCAGCTGAAAATGAGCTGGTAACAGCTCGAAACGTCCTGTTTTTCAGTGGTTTTTATGTTTTAGCCTTGCTTACCCATGCTTTAACTCCATTAAGATCAAATTACCAATAGTGTTCACTGAAAAGTCGAAAAAAAAATATTTACAAATTTTTCCAAAAATTCCTGATGTGTCAAAGGAAATTTAATAACGTTTGAAGGCTTATACGGCGTTTTTCCGTAGCTCGACAGATTATTTGATGGGAGCATCCACTCTAGTCTCTGCAACTATGAGTTCTCGATTCAGCTTGTTACGGCTTCATCTAATAATAATTTTAGCTCCGAGTCATTCATATTTCCTCATTGAGCTAAGTTTGCAAACTGCTTATGAATGAATTACTCAAAGTAGTGTTTTAGAATCGGTCGGCTGAAGAGGCTCTGCGCCTGCACTGAGAAAAAGCTATGGTTTATAAACCTATTAGTGGTAAATATGGAACACCTATAATAGTCGTAAATAAACTAATGATTCTCGGTCTGTGAACCATACTAAGGTCTCTGTACCTAATTAAGGTACAGAGACCATAACTAAGGTATATGTGCTATTATTATATGTAGAGGTACTACTATTAGTGGTGTTCCATATTTACCTCTAATAGGTTTATAAGCCATAGTTTTTTCTCAGTGTGGATTTTTGAATCTTTGTCAATGGCGTGGCGTGAATTGCGATGTATCGATTGTATGCCATTTAAACCTATGGTAGAGAATCGATTATTAAGGTGTCCGTGCGAACACCCTGTTTATCGATCCTTTTCCATAGATTTAAATGGCATAACAATCGATATATTGCAATTTTCGCCACGCCACTAATCGTTGTCGAACGACCTTGATCCATAGAAAGCATTGCTCAGATAGAGATTTATCGATTAGGATCATTCGATAACGATTCAACAATCGACCCGCTGGTCCGCAGTGGCGTGGCGTGCTTTGCAATGTATCGATTGATCTGCCATTTAAACCTATGGAAAATGATCGATAAACAGGGTGTTCGCAACGAGCGCCTTAATAATCGATTCTTTACCACAACTTCAAATGGGAAAATATCGATAATCGATCATTCACGCCTCACCTCTGCTGGTTCGCAGAGACTTTGGCTTCAAAATCTGTTCATGTGCCCAACCTACGGCTTCATATTTTTTAATTCTGCCAGTGGGTAGAAAAGCAAGATTTCAGTAATGCCTTGCCTGAATTTAGAATCGTATGCCTTTAGTGGCTGTCACACTATAATTTTTTTTCCTAGAAGAGTAAAAATGCACCTTTCAAACAAGAGCTAAAACAGGGATCCTCTTTTCGTGGAATAATACTCATTTTGTACGAGTACATCTGAATGGATGAGGCAGATTGAATGCTCTTTCAATATTCCCCATCATGACTAAAGTCGTTTTTGAAGTGGCTTATGTAAATCTCTAGCACAATTTCAACCGTCAACAATCATGAACTGTCGCAAAATCGTATTACCATGGTTCAACATAAAAGGAACCGTTAACAACAAGAGAGACTTTAGTGAAAGGTTGCATATTTGTCTAGGTAATATGAACGTTTTTTCTCAAATTGTATCGCAAATGGACCGCGTTAAGTAGAATGGAACCAAGCCACATAAATAACTGCCGAATTGAATTGGGCAATTCAATTTTTTAAATGAAAACGGTTGTGCAGATTTTTGTTCAAATTTCATTGAATTTTCTAAATATATTGCAGCAAATTCCGCAAAATTTTCAAAAGAATCCGTACCAACGTTCTGTTGTTCTGTTTTGTAAAAAAATGAAACTGTCCAGTTAAAGTTGACAATAGCTGAAGTGGATTGGTTCCTTTCAGCTGAACGCAGTCCAAATATGAAATTCTTGCGTTGCTTTTCAAATGTATCATAACATTGTTACAAAGCAAGCATTATTAAAATGGCCTAAAAACTACCAAGTGCCGAACATTCTCCTTGCTGACACATTGCAGGATTTGCAAATCTTATTTTATTGGATAAAATAATAAGTAACGCGTATCGCTTAACGTCTGAAGCGCGAAGCGCTGCGGGGGCTGAACCGCGAAGCCTTCACCCCCTCGTGTTCTTCCATATGTATTGTATCTTGGTGGATCCTGACTCGTCTTCGAAGAAATGACGGGAGGGATGCAGGTTATGTCAAACTGTTGTCACCAATCGAAAACGCCTTTAGTTTC